GTGTGGCTTGTTGTACACTCTTCATGTAATTACAAACAGTAGAGATTATCAATGTATAATTCCGTATGTAAATACTAATAAAATCCCATTAGCAATGTAAGCCGCCTTAAATGTAAAAAAAAAAGAATCTATAAGCAGAAGATCTGTATAGTAAAAATTTTTAGTTTGGTAAAGTAGTATAAATTTTAATAGTCATACTAGTTAATATTTGATCTAATGAAAAATCTAAGTACAAAAGATATAGATCAAGTAGATACAGTAAATTTACTGTGTAATATAGTCTGGTACCTTGCATTAGCAGCAATACTAACTTAGCTTAGTATTTCATGAAATATCTGATTAGAATCTTAGAAGACTAATTTGGTAGAGAGCTATAGCAAAAACTGAGTTTATACAAATATTAACAAAGGTTTAATTCAGGTAAATTTGTGAAATAAGTACATGATCATTCTGATAAGATTTACTTCTGAGTTTAACTAAAACTCTACAACTCATAATATATTAAATAAACATATCTTAAGAAGATCTAAGTTATGTAGTAAATGAATCTACAAGCAAGTTAGTTAGTTTAAACAATCAGATATTGTAGTAATATTAATTTAAAATAAAAAGAAAAATTAATAATCAGAGTGTTTAAATAGGTAACCTATAAATAAGTTACAAGTATAACAGTATAGTGTAGAACTAACAGATAATCAATTGTTTGTATAGCAGATTACTTAAATTAAACAACAACTAAAGTTGTATATATAGCTTATTATATATTTATTATATAATTATAAAACCTTAGAAGATTACTATTTTAATAACTCTATAATAACAAGTTAATAAAATCTAATTGGCTAAGAAAGTAGTCTTAATAAAAAAAAACAAAAATATTATCTAAATATTATATCAAACAACAAATACTTTAAATATAACTAAATTATTCACAACTCTTTCTAATGATTCTTTTTCTCAAAATTCAAAAAAGCAAAAAAATAAAAATTTATTATAGAAAGATAAAAAGTTTTTTTTACAATACAATAGTTTTTAGATCAACTACTTACTTTTAGGAACTCCTTTGTATATTTAACATACAAGTTAAAAATAATATTATATAAGATAACTAGCAAGAGAAAAGAGCTCTTATATAAAAATTTTAATAAAGATATGCAAAGTTGCTCTTTGTTAATGAAGTTAGTAAAAGAAGACTTAAGAAGAGAAATAATAAATTATTTTGTCTATATACTCCTTTAGACTTAGTAAAACAATAATATACCACAAGCTTTTTCTTTCTAATCTTTTATTTTTTTTAACAAAAGTAGGAATTTAGGTTTCTCTTTACAAAAAATCAGTATTGTTTACTCTTTTTATTTTCAGAACTACTCTGTATATATACAATCTTGTATAGTAAATATAGTCATATATTTTGTTTATTGACAAAGTTATATACTTTGTATAATAACAAATCTATGTACTTTGTTTATTATTTAGTCTAGAACATCTTGGTACTACAGGTTTTAATTTCTAAAGATGAATTATATATTAAATAGAAAATTATTCAAGATAGGTTATAAGTTATACAACTTAAAATTTTTAAGTCTGACTCAGACTATAGAATATTTGGTTACCTTTTTTTTTTTAGTTCATTTATATATTCTGTTCCTTTTATTATATTACTACCTAATAAAGTTTTTACAACTTGAGACAAGTTTTTCTTTGTTAATAAGCTTAATGCTTTTAGATTAGTAACAATTTTTATTTTTTTTTATCTTGAAACTAGATATTAACTACTTGTAGCTTAGTATTAACTAGGTTAAAAAAGATCAAGGATCTTGATAGAGTTTGAAATTACCTTTGTTGATCTAAGGATAATATCTTTTTTAAGAAGAGTTATTATGAGAAGAAAAATAACTTCTGTAGCAAATTGTATCTGAGTACTATTTGGTAGCTGAGTGAGTTCAGAATTGCAATGAAGAAAGATTTAATTATAGATTAGTTTTAGAGCTTATATAATTTGTATTTTATATATATCTTTTAATATTTCCTCTAATAAATAATAGGCAAGATTATTCAAGGTAAAAAAAAAAAATAAATGTAACTAAATAGATTCATAATTTTATTAGATTACAAATTACAATAATAAAATTTTATAAGAAATTATTTCATAATTAGTAAATAAAATTCTTAATACTACAAACTTAAAAATTACTTAATTTCAATTCTACATATTATAAAATTTAATTATCTATTATTTATCAATCTAACTATCTACAAACTTTTTTAATACTATTAGTTTACATATTTTTTTTAAAAAACTTTTACTATAGTATATATACTCATCCAAATAATCTAACTATATACTAACTAACTTCATATTATTTCATAGTTAATTATTAAACTATTCCTTAAATTTAACTCAAAAATTTATAAATAATTATAGCTACTCTATTGTTCTAAATATACAAACTAGAAACAACAACATAATATCAATATATCATACTCAAACTCTCAACCAAACTAAAGAAACAATTAACAAATTCTTTATATTTTTTAAGAATTATATAATTCATATAGCTCTTCTCTTCAATATAACCAAATTTTATCAACTAAACTTGCTATACAAAAACTCTTAGCCTAGCTATTATATTAAATCAAATATAACTTTTCTACAAATTTTATTCTCTCTAATCAAATCTAAATGAGTCTTAACTACTCTAATAGGTTTAGATTGCAGATAATTTTAAATTAATTCTAACTTTAGTTTAACTTTAGTTTTAGCAATTTATTATCATCTAAGTTTCAATTCTTATATATAATTTATTATTAAGTAGTTTTATGTAAACTTTTAACTATATTTTACTCAATAAAGATAGAAGCGAGACCTCATCTTAACCTGCAAAGATTGAAATTAAAAAAAAAAAACAAACTTCAAAAAACTATACAATAAAATTTTATTAATGCGATAATATTTTTTTCTTATGTAAAAAATATTTTTAAGTTAATTTTGAATTAGTTAAGCTTAAAAAAATTCTTATGTAAATTTGTTTTTTTCGTCTTTTTTTTTAATACCTCGTTTCTATTCTTACAGCTTGTAAATTATTTTAGAAATAGATAATCGCTTTATATTGTCAAATAACTAATTCTAAAAGCTATAATTTGCTTTTTTTTTTGACACATCCTATTAAACCAATTTTTTAAATCCGGTCAGGTTATAAAAATCTAGAAAAAAAAAAAAATTATTATTTAAGTTTACTCTTAAGTATATGTAATAAAAATAAACCTAAACAAGATTTGATTCAAATTTTTACTATTATTCTAAGAATTGGATCCGAGTAAAAATTGCTGCTATATGGTTACCCCGAGATATATAGTAAATTACTCAGATAACCCGGTAATTTAATAATACTCGGGTAAAGATTGGGTCCAATCTCTAGGGTCCAATCTCTAAATTATTCAAATCTTTGCATTTGACTATTCTTTTACAAAAAAAACTACAGATATGTGAGAAAATAATAATAAAATTTTATTAAATGATATCGATACGTATGACAAAAAATCGTGATGTGTACCACTATACGAAATCTTACAATGGTAAAATTAATTAATTAATGATTACGTACATACATATGTATCTCGGGTACGTATCTGATATTTGAACACTGATATTAGTTAACGTTTGATTAGATCAAAATTTCCGAATATCTCGATCAAAAAATATCAGAATACAGTACTTGCTAAATAAAATATGTGTAAGTTCATTATAAATAAATAACAAAAAAAAATTTCAAATATTTTAATTAAATAACGGTAATTATCATAGTAAATAATTAGCATTAATAAAAAAAAAAAAAAAATTAATATAGCATTGGCTAATAAATGTTTTTATTGTTTTTATTTTTTTAAAAAGTTTAACACGTTTTTTTTTTAAAAAAAAAAACATCAGAATCAGAAAAGATACAACACTAAAAAAAAAAAAAAAAAATACACGAAAAGTATAACACTCCATATATAATATTTATAATAAAAAAAATATATAACCTTGCTAACTTATATATATTCACAAAAGCATTTTGTGAATTTCCTAAAAAATAAGTATATGTATATATATATAATAAAAAAAAACTTATGTACAGATGAAAGGAAAAAAAAAAAGAAAAGAATTTCGTCAAAAGCTTAATGTTTTTAGATTATAATCAATAAAAAGAAATTTTGTACAAAATGTATTTTGTTTTTTTTTTTGGTTTTTTTTTTTTTTTTTTCGAGAGAAAAATTGGTCTAACCTCCAAAATATTGTAATTATTATAAGAGTGGATCAAAGGGTTGGAGGATACCCAGGAAAAAAAAAAAAAGGGTGTTGTAATTTTAAAAAGTAGTAGTATAAACCTCTATTTTTTTTTGTTTTGTTTTTTTTTTTTTTTACACAAGACCTATTTTCTTTACCGAATGTCCAATGACAAGGTAATATAGAATATCAGTTACTATATTCGAAATGTAACCCAAATCTAAAAAAGTTTTTATATTGGTATTTCGAGAGACAAAATATAAACAAAAATATATAGAGAATAAAAAAATTTTTTCTGCTTGTAGTATTTTAAAAGGTGGTGTCATATTTCTATAAGATTAAAAAAAAAAAAAACACCCAAAATAATAACCCAACACGTTCCTCAATCCTTACCCAACCAAAAACCACCAAGAAAAAAAAAACCCCTCAATAAAAGATACAATTATTCGTGTAGAAAGTCACCCAAGAAAGTAAAAGGAAATATACATCGAATACACAGAATATACAACAACAATAAGATACATGTGAATGTACATTATGTACTACCCCCATATCTAAATGAAAAATAAACAAATATAAAAAAAAAAAAACAATCAATAAAGCCAAATTGATATCGAAAAACTTGAGGGGGAAACAACCGAAAAATCAATCAGTCAACCGGCCAACTGGTCAACTTTTTTTTTTTTTTTAAATCACACTCATCAAATATTTATCAAATCACGTATAGAATAACTCACACTAACCAAGGTCTCCAGACGCTTGATTTCTGAGAATCATCATTATTCTCATCATCCTGTTTCATAGCTTCAAGGGCTCTAAGGCGTTCCTTTTCTTTTTCTTCACTTTGAACAAATTCAGCAGCAGTAGCAAGGATATCAATTGGAGAAGTAGAAGGTTTTGATACAACGGGTGAAAGTGTTGACTGAGTTTCAACAGTGGAAGAATATGAGTGATGAGGTTGAGTATATGATTGATGATGAACAGAAGTTAAAGAATGATGAGCAGGTTGATATAGATCAGAAGGTGGTGCAAGATTAATTAAATCCTTAATTGGAGGGACAATAGGAGGTGGAAGAGTACAAGGATTAAGACCAGGTAACATATAATGAGAAGAGGGAATTGGAGGAGGCAAAATAGGTGTAGTTGGAGAGATAGGAGAGACCGGTGAAGGAGGAACAGTATGACCATGAGTATGAGCACCGTAAACATGATGAGTAGTATGAGGATGATCTTGAGAGAAAATTTTTATTGACGGAGGAATACCCATTTTTTGAGAGGTAGAATTATGAGTAGTCATAGGAGCACCGGTAACAGTAGCAGCTCTTTGCCTGATGAAAGGAGAATTTTGAGTAGTCTTTTTCTGTGAATTAATAGTCGAAGTAACACAAGAGTGCCTTCGATTATTACGACCCTTTGCCGGACAACCCGCTGAAGGACCACCGTTTGTAAACATTGGAACAAATGTGAAATTTCCAGGGTTGATCATGCCAATAGAAGAAGCATGACCACCAGCAGCTTGAGCTGTTGAAACAGAATGATGATGCAGGAATCGATGATGTTGATGAGAAGCATTATGCTCGTTGGCTTTTGCACGATTAGCTTTCGCACGACGATTCTGAAACCAGACCTATAATTAAACAAAAGAAGGGATTTAATTAATAAGAGTGATATAAAAAGAGTGATAGTAAAAGAGTGACACAAAAAGAGTGACATTAAACGAGTGATAATAAAAGAATATAAAGGATGAAAATATAATTATAGGGTGATAAAAAAAAAAGAAAATAAAAAGTAAAAAATATTAATTACCTGGACCTCACGATTTGTCATATTTAATTTTTTAGCCAATTTTTCACGAACATCATAACTTGGAGTATCAGTTTGTTCAAACATAGCAACCAAATCAGCCAACTGTTCTTGAGTGATTCGTTTACGTTTAACCTTTGGAGGCATTGATTGAGAATTTTGATCTGAAGCATTTGGAGGGAATTGAAAATTGGCTTTTGTTGGAGATTTGACACCAGGAGTTTGTGGAGGAGTAATCATATTATTGACAGAATTCTGATCAGAAACCGAGGATCTATTCATCGAAGATCTACGAGTTGAAGGCATAGATCTTGAAGGAGTACCACCCAAATATGAAGAATGTTTTGACATTGGAGAAGTAGGGGTGGAAAGAGATGAATCAGAACTGATAGGAGTAATAGCGTTTGAATGGTTGTTGTGATAGATTATAGTTAAATTATTTCCATTTTCATTAGAGACATCGGAAGACAAATTTGGAGCAGAGAATCGTCTCCAATGTTGACTTGTTGAAGAGTTAGAATATGTATCCTCAAAATTTTCATAATTATCAGTATTTGACGTCGAAGCAGGAGATACTACATGAGCATTATCAGGTTCAGGATTTAACAAGGCCGATATAGGAACAACCGAAGGCCGATTAGCAGAATTTGTTCTTGAAGAGGACAAGGAAGGGTATTGATCATATACGTTTGTCATCTTGTGATTATCTTGTGATTAACTAAATAACATTATCGAACATTATTTTTATAAATTAAAGGTAAAGACACGAGCAAATTGGGATTAAAAAAAGGTAGAACGAGGTAAACGAGATAGAATTCGTCCTTTCAAGAAAAGAGTTCTTTCAACGTTCAACGCGAGAAAAAAATAGTTGAAAGGGGGAATACTGTTATAGATAGAATTCATAAGAATTGTACTCACATATTTTTTTTTTTTTCAGTAGTTGAGACCTAACAAGTATGGTTAACGTGGAGGTCAGTTTTAAATAAAATATATGTACACCAAGGAGTAATGTGTTCACTTTTGATATAGCACAAGTTTAAGTAAAAAATAGAACGGTTCGTCAAAGTGTATCAAAAGTGTGCAATGCAAAAAAAAAAAAAAAAAAAAGAAAAAAAAAAGAAAAAAAAAAAAAAAAGAAAAGTATTGAAAAAATTTAAGATAATTTAAAGGGCGGAATAGAATGACAATAAAAAAAAAAAAAAAAAAAAAAGATATCCAAGGAGAAGGCTCAGGATATTTAGTTGGAAAAGTTGTGTAGCAATCAAACGGGCCCAGTTTTACAACGGTAAATTATCATAAATAACATTCAAAAAAGATTTTTGTTCCAGAACAAGAAAAAGTTTAATGGATTTAATAAAGAGAAGTGAAAAAAAGGGCAGGGCACTTTTTTTTTAGGAAATAGGTTCAGATGTTAAAGTAGGGCCTACACATGCGGTGTGACCATAAACAAGAAAGGGAAATTGAAGAGGTTAATCGGCAAAAAGAGGAAAAGTAAAGATTAATTTATAAACATATGATAAATCAGATATAATATTTTTAATCAACTATTGCGGTTATTGCGGTTATTGCAGTTATTGTCAATATGTATAATTACAAATATACAGTAATTACAGTTAAATTAAAGTAAATTACAAGTAAATTACAGTAAATTAAAGCAATTACAGCAATTAGAGTAAATTACAGAAAATGTAATTTATAATAATCTTAATAATTGAAAAAAAAAAATTGAACTGAAATATTTATATACAGTTTATATATAGTTTATATTATAAAAATAAATAAAATCAAATCAATAATAAAATCAATAATAAATCGCACACTAAAATAGACTAGATTGAGGCAAAGCGAAACAACAACAGACAGGATATTTACCAGACAAGTGGCTTTCATTTAAATATTAAGATTTAAAAAGGTATATTAAAGAAAGTGAAAAACAGTAGTACAATACCTAAAACGGCCAAGTGATGATGTCTTTTGTATTACGTATTAAAGAAAAGATTAGACCTTATTAGGATTTCATGATATATTAAATGATCAAATTGGTTTATTCATAAGTATGAATTAAATGACATTTAATGATAATTTTAATTACAATAAGTTTATAGCGGAGAATCATTAAAAATAGGAGTCTAACCTAAAATAAACAAAATGCAAGTAAATCTATTACTTTGTAAGCAAAAATAAAAAATTGAAACATAGATTACAGAGGATTACAGGAATTACAGAAGGATGAAATATAACAGTTATTAAAATGAGAAGAAATAGAAGGAATTTAATTATAAGGATGAACATACATTAAAAGATAAGCGAATAACCAACTGCCAACCGAATAATGAAATTTTTATAATTACGGAAGATAAATATTTACCAAAAATAGAAAAAGTTGTCTAAGCAGTAATACGTGACCAACAGGTAATTATCTACATAGTAGATGATATCTCGATTTTTCGGTTATATGGTGAAAACTAAATTGGAAATTATCAACGTTAATTCTAAGCTTAACTTTTAAAGGCAACGCCAAAAGTTTGGCGTGATACGTTTTAATTAATTTAAAAACTAAAACTAGCATTAATAATAGGATTTTCTGGGTTCGACCATTTATTTTGAATTATTATTGGAATAATTGCAGTAATTTGAGTAATTGGAATAGTTAGAATAATTTTGAATAATTAATGTGTATAGTTAGAGTTTACTTGAGTAATTTAATTTAATAATAGGAATAATTAAAGTAATTTAAATAATTGACTAAGAGTAATTGGAGTAATTTGAAATAATTGGAGTAATTTGAAATAATTGGAGTAATTTGAAATAATTGGAGTAATTTGAAATAATTGGAGTAATTTGAAATAATTGGAGTAATTAGAATAATTGGAGTAATTAAAATAATTAAAATAATTGGAATAATTGGAATAATTGGAGTAATTAGAGTAATTAGAATAATTGGGGATTGTAAAAAAAAAAAAAAAAAAAAAAAAAAAACTAGTTGGGAAAACGCCATTCGTTGATTAAAAACGCAGCACATGGATATCATCAATTCATACCGACCAGATTTAGGATAACGGAATATTTAAATGGGAAAGGCGTATTTATGAGCACAGCCTTTTATGTTATTAACGGATTCGGATATAACCTGATTGACAGACATAAAGAACTTACAGGTCAATTGTCTAAGATGCGCCAAATGAAACGAAAAAATAAAATGGAGTTTAAATGTTAATTTGGAACGATTGCAATAAAATCTATTGTGTATGCTCCGATTGTATGCGATAGAAGTATAAGAGAAAATACAATGGCAAAGAGCATTTTGCTACTTTTGGTTTCAAATGAAATTAACTTGGTTCACATTTGGAATTTCTGAATTTTGAGTTATTATCGGCTGACCGGAGTTTGATTCCGCTAATTTCGTCAAATTTCGTTTATTTCTAAATTAATTTCCTCAATTAACTTAGCATGTTAGTTAATTATCTGAGTTAATATAACGATAACTATTGTATAATTATTAATGAGTCATAAGTTATCAGATATAATAATATATACGTATTAATAATTATTAGTGAGCGTATAATGATTATATAATTAATTAACGTAAATGAGTTAATTATTTGCTAATTTTCTTATTTATCAGTTATTTAAAAGTTAATCTTAGCTGTTAGAGAATTAATGTTTATTGAATCGTTTCGTGTTCTTTTCTTTGATCAACACGGTGAATACCAAGTCTATTATCTTGATAAACGTGGCTAATTTTTATTTCTGCCTCTGAATATATTCCGATGATTCTAATTTTGAATGTTTTTAAATTTAGGTTCATTAATGTTTTGATCTACATTTATTTAACCCAAAATATTTAAAAATCTTCTTCTTTTATAATAAATAGAACGTGAAGACCTGCGCGAAGCATAACCAACAATGACAACGGGAAAATATCATTTCATTACAGACTACTAATTTAGCTGTTCCCGTCAATGTGACATTAATAGCACTGCCTGGGTCACCGGTTGCTTAGCATTGGCTTAGCATCTTTCTCCATTAATGGTTTATCTTATTGTTTTGGTCTTGTCGATACCGAGGCTGAGTTGTTGAATGCTGCGCTATGTGGCAGTGAAATTATTCATTGTCGATGGCTTGCTTTATTTTTATTCTTTGTTTTCTCCGCTTTCTTTGCCTTTTGCGAGGCTTGTTATCTTTTGCTCATCATTGTTTATTCTTTGTTCGATCTCACCAATCAAATTCTCGATGCTTACTGCAGTACTGCCACAACCCCCTTTTATTGTTTGTTTTATTCTTTATCATTACTATATTATCTTTATTATTTATCCTATTTTTTCGTCAATTATTATCTATTCACCTAATTTATTATCATATCTCACTTTATTTATACACGTATATATTATCTATTGTCTATTATATTACCTATATTTATCTATTCATATTACCGTTATTTTATCTATTTCGGTAAAATTTCTTTCTTACAATCACGATAAATGTCTGTTTAACTTAACCGTTAACATCTAATTATTAATTGATTCCCATCTTTGTATTCCATATACACTTAAACTTGCTTTTAGTATGAATGCAATGTACGAAATGTTGTGTAATAAAAGTTTAAAAAAATTAAAATTTATGCAATATCGAATTGTTGATTTTGTTTATTTATTTTTTATTTTATTTTATTTGCTTTTATTATATAACCTGATTTTCTTTCATCACCATCCTGTTTTTTCACTTTCGTGTTCTATTCACTGCCTTTTTTGTTTTGTACAGCCTTTTTCTATAAATCATTTAAGGGTCTATCTTGTCAAATGTCTCTGAGATTTCGAAACTAATCTTTAAATGGCTTTCTAAAAAATGATGATCGGCAATTGATTGGTCTCTAATTTTTTTTTGTACTCCATTTACTTATAATTGGATGGTTAACGGGATATTTCAAGTAATATTTATCTTGCTTTGGAAGTTCATATATTGATATATTTAGATTTTCTCGCTAAATGAAATATTACACCACTTTAAGTGTGACCTTGTTTTACCTTTTTGATCTATCGTAATTATAATTTTTTACTATTATTATTATTAGACAAACAAATATCTTACCTATCATTTTTTTCGATTATCTTTTTAATCTATCACCTAGTTCTGTACTTACAAATATTTGTTCAAAAGAACGAAACTTTATTTTTTTTTTTTTTTTTCTCTCTCACATTTAATACCATTTATAAATTTCTTTGATTAATTTTATATCATTTCTATTATCGTTATCGTTAATTTATCGTCTAATACGTGTATTGTTCTTAAAATGGTTTTATCATAAAATGTTCACAATGAAGCTTCCAAATGAATTTCTTCCATTGTCACCCCAATTAGGGCTCTTACTTTATACTTTAATTTTAGTAAATTTTAATTACCCACCAATTTGAAATAAAAAAAAAAATACGGTTTATGTATGGTAATAAACGAATGAAACTTTTACTTGATGACTATGAAAATACTATTTTAAAACTTCTTTAAATTGGTTTATTTAGAAATTTTATCTAATTTTGTTTCAAATTTTGTTTCAATTTTTTTTTATCGGAAATTATCCCCTAAATTATGGGAAATTTCCGACTGTCACGTGCAATTATTAAATTGGTGGGATACTTTAATGTGAGTACGTACGTAACTGTATGATATCACAACAATTAATAATTATTAATAATAACGAC